GCTCTTTTTCGGGGCGAGAATGGGGGTTTCTCCGAGTTCTCCCTTGCCAAACACTCTGATATGGTCTGACGCTAGTGAGGCGGACGCAATGAGTGCCGATTGGTCATTGGGGTCATGCTGGACCTTCGTGAGCAAGAAATCGTCAACGTAGACCCTGGCCAAGAAATCGCCCGCGGGTCCTCCACCTCTATGCGGTCTAACGCCTGCCGACGAGGGTATTGAGGTTGGGGTGCCTTTTTCCCATGAAGGTTTTATTTTCACGTGAGACATCATTGCGATTCCTTCTGGTAGTAGTCGAGCGTTCGCGAGGGACGTGTTGCGGTGCGAGTGCTCTGCAGCGGAGGCTAACACACCCCACAATCCTGGTGACGCTGCCCAGCCAAAGGTCAGCCGTAGATCCGCTACCAGCACGTCTCCTATCACGTAGCAAAAGTTGTGTGCATGATCTGGTGATATCCTCACATTTCTGAACGCAGAGGTGACATCAGCCTTGGCTGCGAGGATTCTCTTGTCTGGCCATCTTTCTCGTAGGTTAGTGAGCTCCTCGAGGAAAGCTGGTAGGGCTTCACCGCACAGGCAACGTGGAACTCCGGACATAATGGTATCTTTGTTGAGCCCACCTTTCGACCCCTTGCTAGTGCTTGGGTCAAAAGAGAAGTCGTTGATGATCCTCACTTTTTTCCCTGGGACCGCCCCCAACGGGGCTACTCTGATCCCGCGTACGTCCGACGCGTTCGCTTTCTCAGGACGATACACCTGTATCGCTTGACATCGTCGCATAGTTTTTCCCACACTTGCGTTTGGTGTTCGTCTACGCTACGGTGGTTGCCGTATGCCAAGGCTTTCTTAAGGTTTTGCTGCGAGTCTAGAGTGGGGGCCGGGGCTCCTTCGCCGACTATCTCAATGAGGTCGTCGATACCCGGAAAGCCCTTCTCCTCTCCGAAATACTGCTTGACGTCGCTCACGTCCAACGGCGGTGACACCAAAGTGCCGCCGATTCCCCTCGCGACGTCTCCCAGCCTTCCGTCGTGGAGCTTTCCCAAATCACTACCAATGTCCGCCATCTTCCGAATGATGCATTGCTTCTCGTCTAGTGTGTGCTTGACGCGAGTCAGCTTCTCTGTACCTCGAGTCTATCGGTCAGAGTTTTTGAATTTTCCGACAAGGTTGTATTTTTTGGCCTCTCTAGGGCCGAAGGATCTTTCCCTGCCCCAAAGTGAGAAGTCGTTGAATTCGACCCGCAATCATGTCGCATTACTTCTGTGATGTCAGCGGCCCTAGCAGTGTCCGCCGTTAGTGCCCTACGTGCCAACAGTGCTTCCCCCGGGGTGTCCGCCCCGGGAGAGCTTTTGACACGGTCATGGTGTCCGCCAGTTCCGTATCGTACCCGCGAATGGTGTCCGCCAATCGGGGCTGTGTGACTGACAAATTCTTACGCAGGGTGTCCGCCCTGTGTATGTCCTTCTGCACACTACTGGTGCCCGCCAGTATTTTTTGTTTACCAACAACGCTCGCGTCCACCGCTTGCGTGCCGCGGTCGTTCCCGCGAATGGTGTCCGCCAATCGGGGCTGTGTGACTGACAAATTCTTACGCAGGGTGTCCGCCCTGTGTATGTCCTTCTGCACACTACTGGTGCCCGCCAGTATTTTTTGTTTACCAACAACGCTCGCGTCCACCGCTTGCGTGCCGCGGTCGTTCCCGCGAATGGTGTCCGCCAATCGGGGCTGTGTGACTGACAAATTCTCACGCAGGGTGTCCGCCCTGTGTATGTCCTTCTGCACACTACTGGTGTCCGCCAGTATTTTTTGTTTACCGACAACGCTCGCGGCGTCCACCGCTTGCGTGCCACGGGGCCAATTACATCCGCCCGGGGTGTCCGCCCCCGAGGCGACTGCATTGCAATGTTCAGCACGTGTGGTGTCCGCCACAGTCTTCGTGGTGTACAAGGCAGAGCAGTAATTGATCCCGCTATTGGTGTCCGCCAATAGGTATTCCGTT